AAAAAATATCCTCCACCCTCCCCTTCCCAGGCGATAAACGATTGCTGATCTAATGGTAGGCTCCTATATGCTTGTTTTCGTAATATTCTTACTGTTTTCAACCGTAATTACTGTTTGATTTTCTTAGATCTTATAGACAAGTCTACCAAAGCTAGTGACTTTGAGATGTGTATCCAATGGTTTCAACCAGAGCTTGACTGTGTGTTTGTCCAAGATCCAGCGGACTCCCAGTCAGAGCGCCACAGAGCAGTTTGTGTCTTGTACGCCTTTAACAATAAAGCTCTTGATCTTCCGGCGAACCCACTCGTCGGTCAAGTCAAGGCCGGGCTTTATCACGTGATAGAGTCTCGTGCTCAGGCCCTCCACGAAAAGCTTATGGCCACGTTGGAAAAAGCCGAGAACGACCTGGCACCCCTGCAGAGCTCTCAAACGGGACCTGGAAATCTTGAACAAAATAAGGGTAAACGATTTTTATGAGAAGAATAAAATATTTTATCAATACGTAGTGAAAGTAAAAGTAACTACGTAAATTGCATTGATAACCCGAAGATTAAGAAGATTAGAAAGGTGCCTCATGGCTTGAAATGCTTTGATGCCCGAATGCTGTCCGACTAGTAACCACCCTTTCAATATCTCTCGGAAATTTTCGAGAATCGAACAGCTGTTTTCCGTCGTGCGACTTACCCTTTCAAAGGAAAGCGATCGACATATCAAATCTCCCTTCTGGTTCCACACATTTCTTTTGAAATCAGTCATGAGAACTTGGATTCATGCCATATATCATGACCTATCAGTTAATAGTTATATTTCTCCTCACTCAAGTTCATAATTTTAGGAGAACACGTGTTGATGAATTTTAAATTATGTGTTTACCTCTTAGGCCGTCCGTCCAAAACGGATCCTGCGCAATTGATGGTACCTGGAAATTTGGAACAGAAACCCTCTGGGACTGGGGTTACATCGCGTAAAAAGAAGAGCATGGGAATAAGGGCTCTCTCAGCTAAGCAAAGAAAGGACGATCACATAAGGGCCCTGCTGAGAGAGCATCTGAGTGAAATACGAGCCTTGTTACAACGTGAAGTGCCAGTTCCAGTTGAGGTGAACACGTGATCATTTTTGTCATTGTAACATGGGAGGGGATGTAAGTTTGGTTTCACGAAGACCCAGGGTACCATTAAGAACAGTAGAAAAATACTCGACTTTCTGCAACAATTGTGTAGCTATTCGTTAATCGTCGGCCATTCTTTCTTTTCTGTTACTCATGTGGATGTTTTTTTGTTACAGGAAGTACCATTTGAAGTCAATCTCCAGAACGTGGATTGTCTCGAAGCCATGTTTGACCCAAGTCGTGGGAACCTTTCCAAAACAACACAGGCATTTTATACTTGGCTTTCATCCCTTCTGGAAAATTAAATTTTGGAATTTTTGTTTAAGTTTGTCCAGGCAGGCGGAAAAAACGTTGACAAACATTTTTTTCTTGAAACTTTTAGCGAGGATTTAGAAATGGAATGAAAAAGCCATCATACAGTGGAGTGTTCGTGCGGTATATTTATCTTGTTTCACAGATTTAAATTGTTGTTTATTCACTTGGACTGCATAATGGAGCTGTATTTTAACATGGCGTTTGATATTTATTGCATTCCTGATAAAATAAAGATTATTTTCACAGTGAAGTGTCCATATAATCTTTTCCGTAAATAATTTATTTAATTACTTAGGCTCGGCACAAATTATAAATCTTTGAAAAACCTGTATTGGTTTATATTTTAGAAGAAATTAATTACCCGCATTTTTTTTAAAATTCCCTAATAAAGCACGTCTTTGCTCTTCAGCCTCTCGCTCTGACCTCATGAGCAGAGAAAAAGGCCTTGGGAACGTAAAACTCATATGAATTACAAATGACTTTTCAAGTTAATATTCATATTTGCGAGAGTTCTTGCACGTGGAACAAGCTTTGGGAAGACGAGACTAAAGCGGTTTCATCGGCTACTCAGCGGCCGGGAAACTCATCAATTCAATCCTATTACCTAGGAAAACGTCTATAAAGTCAAGACTGGCGTGTGTCTATTCGAAGGTGCCAAATCGAGTGGTTTAAATTCGACTTCACGATAGCGCATTTTGATGGGAATCTTCTCAAGGTGAATGACCTTCGTCTTAATTCAATTTGAAAGACTTTTGCAGTGTTTGTGTTTTCGTTGTTACTCTTGAAAATCAAATTTTATACTTAAATGGAAAAGACGTGGTATGTTATTAACACAGTGCAATGTATAAAATATTGTCATCGGTAATCGGCGCCATGACAGTCCTTTATGCACCACGTGACCTTTACAGGGCAGCAACGTAAAACTTGCATTTTTCGCATGCGTAAATGATCGCTTTTTACTCATTAATTCTGTAAATTTATTTACTTCGTTTAAAGTTATGTATAGAGTAATCAATACTAGTAGCATTTTAGCTAGAGAAATGGCAATGTTCTTTTCAGTTCACCCATATACAGAGTGTAAACTTCATCTAGAATCTCGTGTCACTAGTGTGGCTGAATGTAATGATATTTCAAAGGTATTACACTTGTATTGCTTTCATGACTTATTTCATGATGATTTTGACTGTCTCTCTGTCATGGAAGACCGAATCAAGATTTCCTTTGTCACTTTGAACATCGAGTTTCATTTATAGAGAGTGATTTCCTTTTAAGAGGTTTGAAATCACTCTTATTCCATTGCCTTTTCTCTTTACAAAACAGCATCAAGCATAGAATGAAAAAATTTGGAACTCTGAAGGACAGTATTACCCGCAGAATGGGTACATCTCAAATTCAAGAAATTCAGAGGAAGAAAGGAAAACGGGATGACTTCTGTTAAGGTTAGTTCAAGTTATTTTAGTTTTTGCGATTACTAAACTATCTGCCCTTGTAAAGCTTAAAATCTTGATTTGTGCATTCGTATATAGGCTGAGTCAAATGAGAAGGAAAACTATCTGATCGAGATGTTTTAAATAGTCTACAACAATGTTGTTTACGTAAATTATTACCATCATTTTGCATTTTGATAAAAAAAGTACAAATGTTAGAAGAAAATATTACATGTTATGACCTTCCACACGAGGTATAAGTTACCATAGTAACAGTTGTGCCTAATGAAGACTCTTTTAATTCAGAGACAGAGAGCTTATGAAGAAGTTGATCAATTCACGGCAAAAAAACAAGCGTTCGCCGTACGGAAAACGAAGGTTGAATTTACGGAAAACGTGGCAATTTACTATCGTTTACCCGTGTTTTGCCTACGGAAAATCCGACGTTTTCCTGCGCGTTTTCGCATCGGTGAATCCCAGTATTCGTTCCATTATTCGGTAGTTTTCCTTCGCGGTAAATGCAGGTAAACAATTCATTTTCCGGCATTAACCGCTCGGTTAACACATGGCAAACAGCGTGTTTTCCTTTCGTTCATTGGCATTTTCCGAGTGAACAACAACGTATTCACCGGAGTTAACAGCTGAAAACACGCATTTTCCGGGAAGGTTAATGTGTGTAAATACGGGAAAACATAATATTTTCCAGAGTTTGCAGTTCGTATAACGCATAGAAAATGCCACGTTTTCTTTTGTTCGCAACCATTTTACGCCCGGTGAACGAAATGTTTACAAGAATTATCCAGTCGAAAGCATGCATTTTCCAACGTTTTTCCGCAATAGTGAATTCGAGAAATTTCGTGAAAACGCATTATCAGGCGTTTTACCTTTTATTGTTGTTCGGTTAATCTGTGGAAAACAACATTTATTTCTTATGCTTGAAAAATGAATATTTAGCCTTATGAAGTTTTTTGCTTAGTTCGAAGAAATATTGTGGAATTAAATTTTTTCAATGTTCCTGCGTTCAAAGCAAAATTTAAATTAAAAGATTATTCCGAGAGAGTTGTTATTGATGGCAGAAATAATTTTAAATCTCAGATAGGTTTTTAATCGAATTTAATGGGACGTGATGTTTGATAAAATTATTGAAGATTACACTTCTGTGAATCGGTTAGTTTGGTGATTTTGTTTCCATCTTGTACGAGTTCATTTCGTGTTTATCAATGTATTTTTCTGTGTCTGTTTTTGAAATTGGCGAACAAAACATTTCTGATCCTAAAAAATATTGTGAAGAAGTCAAAGTGAAAAATATCGTTTTGATATAAAAATAAAAAAAATTGATAGAAATTTTAAAACAATTTGGTTGGTCAGAAGTAGTTTTTCATAAGAGCGGAGAAACTGTGAACTTCATCATGCCATCTTAATCCTTTCACTCTCAAGATCTCATCAGTAATTCTCCTTACTGTCTGTCATACAATTCTAATGATGTTAGTTCTGAGAATTTGGTATTGGATCAACTAATGGTCCCTTAATTGATATTTTTGTTTATTCTCATCATTCGTCTGTTTGATATCGTGCCGATATAGTAAGGAGAAATTCTATTTTGGTCACTCATGGGAGCAAAAGGCCCAGGGTTTATCCAAATTTCGATAAATCGATATCATACAGGTCTTGTTCTCTAGCAGTGATAGACACAAATCATTTCTAGTATTAAAACAAAAGAATCCAAAATTGATTCATAACTTTCTAAAAGGAACCAATTCCTTAAACGAATAGATTACTTGATGTCATGTTAAGGACTTTTTCAAATATTAATTTTACATGATTCGTAAACGTCCCCACTGGAACCTTTGAACCAAAACAATTCTTTAAAGCTAGAGAATGATCTTTAAAATGATGTTTTAGAAGGAAGACTGAATTCAGCTTTTCATTCTCGGAAAACATCACTAAGGGAGTTGATTTTTTTATTGTTATTCAAAATTGAACATAATTTTCACTTACCACGATTTCTCTTTAATTTGTGCGAGAAGATGCTTCTTGGATTTTTCAACTTTTTTACTCGTAGAAAAGATGGCCAAGAGCTCAATATTTCTTCACTTTAAAAATTCCTGCAGACTCCGAAAATCAATAGGAATTAATTTCTTAAAGTTGCAGCCAATAATTAATTATATATGATCACATCATTTTGATTCCGTCATGCCCTAGAGGGTTTGTTGACGAAGGTTGAGATTAATTGCCGATTGTTGCTTCATTTCAACAAAACCTGTTTGCTTAGAGTTACATAGCTTAGTAGGAAACAGCATAAAGTGTAATATCATATTCATTTCGAAAATTTACGAGAATATTGATCAGCGATCATATTGAATTTACGCACAAATCCAGGTTATGTTTATTGTTTCGTTCACTTATTTAGGCGAGTAAACTTTGCAGAGTTAAAATATTGAAATTTATTGTTTTTTTAGAGGGCACGGTAACGAATCTTGCAATCTGATTGG